AGAATCTAATAATAAATGAGTAAGGTTTAAAATTTACGAAATATAAAACAAATTTAAGTATTTATTGTGACGAGTCAAAATTTCACAAGAAGACTGTACCAACATAGAACCTATCATAATCGAAACAAACTAATCTGTAGATGTGATTCTGTGTAGATGTAAAATTCAGACTAATGTATTCTCTGTTACCCAGTCTTATGTACACATTTATGATGAATACTGAATAAGAATAGACTAATTCATTTGTAATGGTTGTTTAAATCGTTCCATTGATGTTTACGACTCTGAATGAATAGTCTTTTTTTTGTTTATGTGCTATCCTATTTAGCTATAATAATTCAATAATTTACTTTGTGAACACATATTTAATATATTATATAATTAAGCATCAATAATTCTTCTAAAGATGCGAATACTTATCACACACGATTGGAGGAAATCATTTTCATACATCATTCACACACACAAAGCCATTGCTCGACAAATGAGGATACTGAGAAACAAATTGAGGATATCCTTGATAAATATATAAGTATATAATTATAAGTTCAACGCAAAGCAAAAATACTGAGGGTTCTTCGAGACTGTTTACATCAATGACTAGCCTTTGTTACACAACCGTTCAAAACTAGCAAGCACTGGACAGCTATTTCGTTCCAGTATGAAACTTTTCAACATACCACATCCATGATTTGAATGAGGTTCAAACTCAAAACCTTCTGAATTCATAGGCAGTCTTTAAACTTTAGACAATGCTAGGACGTAATATCTTTCCAGTGCTTCCAGTACTGGTTTACAATGATTGGCAAATCAATGTCAGTCCTTAATATAAACTATAAAAAACGAAACATTTTATTATTCAGGTTTTCAGGTCATAGGTAACAATGAACCTTAAATTAACTAACGAACATACATTACATTTAACTTCCACTCTTAGGAACCCTTAAATAAATTGTTCAATGACATTGAAATTTCCTTAAAAACATCCTTATTTTAAAGTCGCCACATTGAATACAATCATAATTTTAAAATGTTAGAAATTAATGTAAATTAAAAAAACATTTAAGTAGACAGTATTGTTTTCATATCAGAAGGGGTTTTGTGAATATCATAGTGATTTTAATAGATAACATCATGAGTCAATTGAAGCTAGACCACCATGAAAAACCCGGTTGAACTCCACTAGTCACTACTTCTCACTAGAACTCCAGGATATACCTCTTGAAGCCAGTCACTAGTGAGCATATGTTTATTAATATCAGAAGGGGTTTTGTGGATATGATAGTAATTTCAATGACTAGAATCATGAGTCAGTTGAAGTTAGACCACCATGGAAAACCTAGAAGCACTGAACGGGCGTTTCGTCCTATTGTAGGACTCCTCAGCAGTACTCAATCACGACCCCATCTCGCAAGATTTGAACTGACTCATCATCCTAACCATTGAAATTACTATAATATTCACAAAACCCCTCCTGATATTATTATTTTTTTTATTATTTGTAAATATTTTAACGTCCTATTTGAAAATAAAACAAAAGAAACAAAAAAAAATTATAATTTAAAGTGTACATTTAATATGAAAAAAGAGTAAAATCAGGGATTATTGATCAACCTAATCGTTTGTTATTGTCTAATCAAACTAATTTTGAGTTAACTATACACACACGAAAAAAAAATCAGTGTTTTTTTGTTGTTGAAATTTTTTTTTTACATTAAAACTTTCATAGTGATTGGCAACAAAAAGTTTTCAATATTGATTAATTTTGTAAATTTTAATTATGTATAGATATATATATTTTTTTCTATTTATTGTTAAAATCAATTTTCTTTAGTTATGATTACTGAAATCATTTGACGAAATTTACAATCATTATTTTTTAAAACATGAAACTAATTATATTAAATGTATATAATTATTATTGTATATTAAAGACTGTTAAATACCTCAATATAAACAATAATTTTAATCGTTAAGATCATAAGTTAATTGAAAGTAGATTATCATGGAAAACCTAGAAGAACTGGATGGTCATTTCATTCTATTATGGGACTCCTCAATTCAACCGGATCTGTTGTGAGATAGTAATTCACTGAAGACAATGGTAGATATGTCGCTCAATTTCATGGATTCGTTGGAGTTAGATATTAACACTGTTGGATGCCAGCTCAATGGTCTAGTGATTAAGCGTTCACGTGCGAGACAGATAGGTCCTGAGTTAGAATCTCGCAAGGTGGGATCATGGTTGCGCATTGCTGAGGAGTCCTACAATAGGACGAAACGCCCGTTCAGTGCTTCTAGGTTTTCCATGATGGTCTAACTTCAACTGACTCATGATTCTAGTCATTGAAATTACTATCATATCCACAAAACCCCTTCTGATATTAATAAACATATGCTCACTAGTGACTGGCTTCAAGAGGTATATCCTGGAGTTCTAGTGAGAAGTAGTGACTAGTGGAGTTCAACCGGGTTTTTCATGGTGGTCTAGCTTCAATTGACTCATGATGTTATCTATTAAAATCACTATGATATTCACAAAACCCCTTCTGATATGAAAACAATACTGTCTACTTAAATGTTTTTTTAATTTACATTAATTTCTAACATTTTAAAATTATGATTGTATTCAATGTGGCGACTTTAAAATAAGGATGTTTTTAAGGAAATTTCAATGTCATTGAACAATTTATTTAAGGGTTCCTAAGAGTGGAAGTTAAATGTAATGTATGTTCGTTAGTTAATTTAAGGTTCATTGTTACCTATGACCTGAAAACCTGAATAATAAAATGTTTCGTTTTTTATAGTTTATATTAAGGACTGACATTGATTTGCCAATCATTGTAAACCAGTACTGGAAGCACTGGAAAGATATTACGTCCTAGCATTGTCTAAAGTTTAAAGACTGCCTATGAATTCAGAAGGTTTTGAGTTTGAACCTCATTCAAATCATGGATGTGGTATGTTGAAAAGTTTCATACTGGAACGAAATAGCTGTCCAGTGCTTGCTAGTTTTGAACGGTTGTGTAACAAAGGCTAGTCATTGATGTAAACAGTCTCGAAGAACCCTCAGTATTTTTGCTTTGCGTTGAACTTATAATTATATACTTATATATTTATCAAGGATATCCTCAATTTGTTTCTCAGTATCCTCATTTGTCGAGCAATGGCTTTGTGTGTGTGAATGATGTATGAAAATGATTTCCTCCAATCGTGTGTGATAAGTATTCGCATCTTTAGAAGAATTATTGATGCTTAATTATATAATATATTAAATATGTGTTCACAAAGTAAATTATTGAATTATTATAGCTAAATAGGATAGCACATAAACAAAAAAAAGACTATTCATTCAGAGTCGTAAACATCAATGGAACGATTTAAACAACCATTACAAATGAATTAGTCTATTCTTATTCAGTATTCATCATAAATGTGTACATAAGACTGGGTAACAGAGAATACATTAGTCTGAATTTTACATCTACACAGAATCACATCTACAGATTAGTTTGTTTCGATTATGATAGGTTCTATGTTGGTACAGTCTTCTTGTGAAATTTTGACTCGTCACAATAAATACTTAAATTTGTTTTATATTTCGTAAATTTTAAACCTTACTCATTTATTATTAGATTCTAGTAATTTTTCATGATTATTACTAAACATTACTCCGTTCGTTTCTTCTTAATATCTGTTAAGTGGACAATTATATTTCATATGTCTGACCCGTAAATGATTTCCGTTGTCCTACTCTTCTCAATCTTTCAGTTATTACACAACCTTGTATTATTATTTAAAATCTCAAATCACTTCACGATATAATCATATTCTATCACAATTGATTGATCACTGGGTGGTGATCAATGTCACCGTCTAATCTCAACATAGTGCCTGCAGTGTCGAGTCACCTAGACTGGTGACCACATTGCAACATGGTCGATAACATTCAATCTGCACTGATAAGGATTTGACACACATGATATTGATCACCACCCAGTGATCAATCAATTGTGATTACGTCTCAGTCCTATAGGAGGTCGATCACGACCCGGATAGCTCACTGGTAACGTCTCTGACTGTGAAGCTGGGTGACACAGGATCGGGTCCGTCAGGGAGAACCAGTTCCTTCAAGATTACAAGTACACCTTGCTGACGAGTGTCAAGTAGCCCGGAACCCGGGTCCAGGGTTTCCTATCGACTATCTCCAACCACCATATAAAGTAGGCACGTTTTATAATGTAAATTTCACTTATATGGGATCTAACTAGAAATAAAACATTTTAAAGTGTCAATAAATTCTATTTTTACTTAATGGCTTAAGGATGATTTTAGATACTAAAGCATGAAAACACTTATGAAAATAACTTTGTAGAAGCTAAAATTTTTGTTTTTTAAAATAAGCGTGATGTTTGATATGTTTAAAGTTTCAAAAATGCCTTTAATCAGTAATTAAATGAAGTCCATATTATTCAATAATTTATTAAAAGTAGTTAATCCTGAGGTGTATTTAAACTTATATGAAGTATAGATAGCTTTGAGCTTTGGTATATATATATTACTGATTATTATTATTATTATCAATATAAGCATTAAATAGGCTATAGTACGCTAAATAATATCAACATTTATCTCTACACATTCACGTTAACAAGTACATTGTAGACCTAATTGATTAAATCTCTTCACTAACAAATACATAATTTGAGACGGGTTACTCTTCTACATTTGTGTATCAGTAACTGTTTCCATATATCACCAAACACAATAAGTAAAAATAAACGTTTCTACAAAGAATCAATTAATTTCTAGAGTTTCTGTTGATCTGTTACACTGTTTATCACTAACATACCATGTTTATTTATCGGGACTGATTGACAATCATATCAGGAAAGCTATAAACTTAAGTTATAAATTCTTACTAGCGAAAAAAACAAAGCAGATATAGTGATAATTCACCATATTAACCGGTAGAACAAATTTTAAAAGACAGAATCATTAAAACAAACATTCACTGTATTTTTGATACATAATTTATGACTTTTTAATCACTAAGAAAATACTCAAAAAAAAAGGGAATCAAAATCCCAAAATAACCAACAACTATTCTCTTCTGTTAGTTAGTCAGTAGTAATATTAATATCTTTCTTATTATGCCGAATGAATACAAGAAATATGATGACTGCTTTTCAATCTATTCATTAATAAACAGAGTAGTTAAATGAATATTAAGCAGAAAATCTGATACTTGAGGAGGTAATTTTTCGATTTAACCTTAAACATTACAAATGAAATGTATAAAGTTGTTGTAATTTGCCATTTGAAACACTTGAGATACCAGGAAAACACAAACAAATCAAATGATAAACAATAGTATAAACATGAAGACAAAAAAAAATAGGAAACCATTAAAAGTAATCAAGTTTTGTTTAAATAAATAAACAAACGGAAATATGTATATATATATAGTGCACAAATTGAACTTGAATATGTTTCTCAACGTCCTTCCATAAAATTTTTGAATTCCAAAAAATCGATATAACCACTATTGTCTGTATCACAATAAGCAAATATTTTTTTAATATCACTTGCAGTAAATTTACCGCCATTAGTTAACATGAATTTTTTAAATTCTTTTTTATTTATTCGTCCATCATGATTTTTATCGACTGTTTTAAAAACTTCTGACCAAAATGAATCACTAAAGTATATTAAAAAACAACAACAACAACAATAAACAAACAAACGAAAACATGATCTAGAAGTTAAGAATGTATAAATTACATTGAAATCATGAACGGACCAAAGTTATTTGAGAACCTGGAGATATTGGATGGTCGTTTCGTCCTAGCATGTGACTTCATAACAGGGCCCAACTATGACTTCGTAAGCGGGAATCAAACCCGAGACCTTTGGGCTCGCATGCAAGCGCTGAACCTCTAGACCATTGTAGCGGTATCTAACGGTTTATAAGTCTAGCTTCAATCAGTTAACGGCACGAAATTACATTAAAATGATAGAAATCTCATTACAGACTACCATGTTAATCTATTTATTACTTTTGCTTTTAAATATTCCCTCATTTCTATCACTATAGTAGTTAATCCTACTCACTGTTTAGCACGTCACCATTTAGTGTCATGCGTAATATCTACTGTAATATTGCACGTCGAAAATTTCATCATATACCTAGAAACGCCAATATTTAATAATATTATTTATATTAAACATGTTAAGATTGATATGAATATACATATATGAAATATTTCCATGAAGTCGAAGTACTTTGAAGTGAATCACATTCACCGGCTTTAATGTTTGTACAACATAGAATGAACGATTTATGAATACTTGAACAGAGTAAAAAACCGTTGAAAGTCGCAAAATGTGCCGGCGAATTTTAACGTTTAAACTTATGATCATAGTTATTGATTAATTTTTATTAAGAGCCAATATTAGTTAGGTAAATTATTGTAAAAAAAAAACTTCACTCAACCCTAATAATTTTTTTCCGCTTCACGATCATACATTGGAACACAAAGTATTATTCTGACAGTTTTTCCATAAATATCTCTTGTTTATATATAAATTTATATAGTATCGAAAGTTAGAATAAATGGCCACATATTGTGAATGGTTTGACTGCAGACATAGTACAGCTATAGTCATCAAGTTATGTTGCTTCAATTTAATGAAAACACATGGAGCTTCACTATATCAAGAGTTGAATTAGGGATCACTGGGTTTTAACACAGTTTTTGAGTTGAACCTCATAAATGTAATGTTGTATGTCTACAATGTAAAACAGGAATCCTATACTATAAAAATACAATGATTTATTGCGAATTCCTATATGAGTACTTCTGATGGATCTCATATTAGGATAAAACAGATTATGTTGATCTGTAATTACAATAGTATTAATTGTTTTATGGTTTTTGAAAATTTCCATTCTATACAACCGTTTGTGGTAGAGACTAATTTAAAATCTATTTATTTTAACCAAGCATCAATATTACTATTTACAATTATCCCATTTAAACTTGAAACAGGTTATCATTAAAACTACAGTTGGTTTGTTGTGTATATTTGAATAATACTGGGATGGAATCAGTTTTCTGCATGAAGTTTTGAAATTAATAATTGAATAATTTTATAATTAACTTACTTAAACTTACTATCACAATTCATGATTGTTGGTTGTTCACCTATATACATGAAGATTTTTATAAATGATAATTTAAATAAATATAAGGGATTTTATTGTTATAAAACAGGATATAAAAATTAATAATGTCAAATTATTCAATTTTTTCCCCACTGTCTATCGATTTTTGTCAACTCAGCTTACAAATAAGACTATCAATATAAATAGTTAAGCATCATAATTCGTTCAAAAGTAACTCATATTTTAAGCTATAAGGTTGTTGGCCATCATTAGAAAAATTCATTTGAAACTATGAAAGACCCGGTAAACTGTTCCCTTCCCTTTCCCCCTAATATCATAATCAAAGAAGTCATTCATATTCTATTGGAGTCATAACGGACTTCTAAATGAATAGTTGTTGTTTGTAAAACGTGTCATGTCATATTGATCAGTTTTTACTGTTAATAATATAATTTAACATACGATTTCTTTCAACTACGTAATAAATGGTATTACTCATTGAAGTTACTGATCAACCTCCATTTTAATCATACCATTAAATCACTTATGCACAAAGAATTTTATTTAAAGCCAGTTATTTGAATAAATGATTTTATACGTTTGAAAAACAAGGAATATTTTGAGAGAAGAATTATGCACAATAATTCAAACCATAATAAGGCATATACAAATAAGTGAATTAGACAATGTTATATATAGAAACAGCAAACGTTTGTATAGATTAACGGTTAGATACATCCAGATCATATCGTTTGTAAATCTCATATATTGAAAGATTCATATTTTGCATTTACTCTACAATAACTTATGTCTTTCCTGTATAATTTAGTACTCTAGAAGTACGTTTAGTAAACAGTATACTATACACATTTAATAGTTAGCATCATTGTCATGAATAAACTTTTTTTATTATATTAATCTGAATTAAAAATGGGTTGAGTGTGTAACTAATAACATTATTATTAAAGTCCTATTACGCTTGAAAAGATTCTGCTAATTCGTGAATGAATCTAACATGACTAAACTGTTACGAAAATAATATGTTTTTTAGATAGAAGTAGAAGTAGACTTCTACCTGAATTTGTGCTGATGATATCGTTCAAAAGAACAATGAAAGCTCCACTATCAAAACCATCCAGCTCAGTGAACAAAACTTCATCATAATCATTCACCTGAGCTACAAATCTTCTTCATCATCTCGTGAATAACATGTTCATACAAGCAAACAGAGAGAAGATTGAACTTTATTAATAAAAATTCTTTTTTCATTCAGAAAATAATAATTTAATGAATACACAATTGATGTATAAGATGACATGTTTTCTAAGAGAAATTATGTACATTTTGTGCAATCCTTGTTTGTGTTACATTTTTTATTGATCATTCGATGATTAATGTTTTCATTGTAATCTAATAAGCTTAAGAAATATTTAGCATTATAAAAGATAGTGTATACAACAGCTGGATTATTTTGCTATGATAGGTGGAACTTTCTCATCAAAAAAACCGGTTAGTAATAAATATATATGAATCGATAAGTAATATTTGAATGGTAATTTGACATCATCTTTCCAAAGATAAAAATGAAAGTCAATACTCCTTAACAAATTCCAATTTCTTAGTTGAACATCAAATAACCAATTTTATATCACCTATCAACATCGAATGATGAATCTTATTATCTTTTTTGTTAAAAATAAATACCACTTAAACTTACTTGATAATTGAATCTTACGTACAGAACTCATCTCGTTAAATAATAAACGATTATGAACTAACATGAATTAAGAAATCATTTTTATACCATTTTCTGGTTAATCTGTCTGTTAGTAAATAGACGTCGATGTCTATATGTAAGTAAGTACACGCAATTGTGTATCACTGTGTAAACAAGTATCGTGATTCTGTTATTGAATAAACTATACTTTAAAAATAACATCAAATACACTGCCCTTATTAACTAAGTTACAAAATATTTATATTCTTAATCATATTGTTCTAGCATTATTTAGTGATTATGACTTTGTTTTTCTTTTAAATGACTGAAAGCAGATGGTAGAAGAGTCGACATTAATATATAGAGATTGACCTATCGTGATTGACTTTTAGAGATCCAAGTATAACAGTCATATTTATATTATTTATTATTCAAGTTCAAAACTGAATGTTAAATTTATTTGACTCATTGACTTAATGTAAATGTAAGTGTAATAGACAGAAAAAATCACAATAAGGCGGTAATATATCTATCTATCTAAAGCGTTATAGAACAAGAGAGCTTAGATGAAGATGAATTCTTGGAACTGTATGCTTTAGTTGTAAAAATTTTATTTTTATCCAGATAACAGTAGGAAACATAGACTTGAAATTAAAAACAACAGGAGAAACTAGATAGAGTAGGACAAGTACTTCAGTCTAGTTTGAAATCCTTTAACAATACACGGCCTTGATGTCACTTAAATTAAAGTTTGAAGGATAGTAGTATATTAAAAATATATATGTTACAGATTTTCAGCCTCAAGTTAATTATGGAATTATGAAATAGTAAGGGAGAAAGTAAATAAGAATATGTACGACAATGTAGTTATATTACATTAAATATAGAATGACCATGGTAAAAACTTTAAAATATTTCTAGTATTTGTTGGAGAGGAACTTAAGTATACTGATAGTTAAACAAGAGATTACAATTTGTGTTGAATGTCGATTATAATATTGTATTATTTAAAATGGTTGAAAGTGATCAATGAGAAACCCGAGACCTAGATTTCATACTAACTGGAGATCGTCAATAAGTTTTCAGCGATAACATAATTGATATTTATAGTGGAATTTAAACTAATCTGATACAGTGTTTTAAGAATTAATATCATACATACGTCCAGTTTTATCGACTTTTGGGGATCTGCTCACTATATATATATGTAATACACTGATACATGAAAGATGCTCTAGATGTTTGGCTACGATCTTAATTAATATAAATAGTGATGAAGTGTTATTTTGTATTTTACTACTTATTTTTAAATCTAATGTACCTGTGATGAATGACTAGTTAGACCTATAAGTAGAGATCTTCATTTTGAGAGATTTATAGGTTACAGATTAATTTTAAAGATATTTTTGCTTACAGCTTGATTTTGTCTGACGAACCAATGAAAACCGGAAATCACAAATATACTAACCACCAAAAATTTGTAGGTATCATTATCAAGGTTTGACTTAATAATTCCTAATAAATTGAGTGAGAATATATTGATTAATATCAGATTGGGTTTTGTGGATATTATAGTAATTTCAATGGTGAAGATCATGAGTCATGAGGTTCACGATGTATATCCTGGAGTTCTAGTGAGAAGTAGTGACTAGTGGATTTCAACCAGGTCTGTTGTGAAATAGTAACTCACTGAAGAAAATGGTTGATGTGTCGCTCAATTTCGTGGATTAGTTGAAGTTAGACATTAACACTGTTGGATGCAGGCCGGCTCAGTGGCCTAGTGGTTAATTGCTCGTACGCGAAACCAGTAGGTCCTGGGTTCGAATCTCACAGGTGGCGAGTTTGTGGATGCGTACTGCTGAGGAGTCCCATAACAGGATGAAAAGGCCTTCCAGTGCTTCCAAGTTTCTCATGGTGGTCTAACTTCAACTGACTCATGATCTTAACCATTGAAATAACTATAATATCCACATAACCCATCTTATACTTAAAACTTTGGACTACTGTTTTGTAACTCAGAAATCTAAACGTAACATGCTCATTACAAAACATGACAGCACTAGATTCAATTGCTGAAAAAGTCGTGGGTGTACACAAATGTTTCTTATTCAGTTATGAAAATGATTTGAACATATTTATCATATCTTTGCTGTACCTTAGTAAGTAGTTCATTATCTCAAATTGAAAAAATAAAATTGTTTTACTATGTAGATTGATCTTTTAATTACAGGTAAGAATAAACTTTCAATATTTTAAAACTGTGTTGAGATGATTATTTGTGGGACTTGAAGTCAATCTCCATTATTTAAAAGATAAAATAAAGAAAATTGAAAAACAGAGAATGCAGTAACATTCCTTCGTTTTGGATTAGAATCTATCAGAGGTATTTAATGATAGAACTCATAAAATTCAAAACTACAATATTTTTGCATTATAATAAGTACACCATTGTTGATTGATTTGGTCAAAAATAATTTTTAATATCATATCCTAGTTCTAGGATATTAGTAACAACCACTGAAAAACTTCAAACACTGGACACGCGTTTCTGCCTACTGTGGGGCTCCTCAGCGGTATTCATTCATGAGGTATGAAGAATAAACCGAATGATTTAACAAATAAAATAGTTATAAGCAAACACTGATCAGTTAAAAACACTTGGCATTTGGTTTTTTCTAAATTCTTCCATTCGAAAATGTGATGTTATAAATGGGGATCTACATATCAAAATCACACTATGCGTGTCGAAATATTTGGTTGACTTTAAATAAAAATATTTTGAAAACTTTTCTAGTCACATATCTATTTTAAGCTTGGAAGTATTTTTCATCGTAAACAGACTTGAGGTGGAAAATCACTGACAACTAGTAAGAAAGGAAAAGCTATTTTATCTTAGTTTGGAAGTCTTCTGGAATCCACACTCCAAGCTTCCACAAAATTAAGACTATTCTATTCGGATCTTGCGATGAACAATTTAGCACTTAGCCGAAGAATCGATCACATGTCCGAATCTCTATCTGTCTGTTAGAAATGTAAATTCTCATTCAATGTCATTTTTGAGTTACTATCTTACTTGTGACGTGCATTAACCATATCTATATATATCGAGAGAGAGAGTGAATGAGTAAAACTTGAGGCTGGGTAGCTAGTTGGTTGAACAGCCACTATCAACGTCATACATGAAATCTGAAGTGTTTAATGAAATCTATTACATAATTTTTCTGTATGGTGATTAAAATTTACTGATGTTGAAATGTTGAAGATATCGTAATGTTTTGAATCAAACTCCTCTTTTCTCGAATAGGTTACTATAAATGAAAGCAAAATGGCAAGATTTCAGCTGATAGTTTGTCACGTTGAACAACTTATTTCTTTATTGATAACTAAATACCAAAGTTAACTAAGGATGGTGATGTACCTCCATATCAAGTAAAATAAGTGGGTGCAAAAAAGGAAAATTTTCCAGGTGAGGAAGGTAAGTTGCCATGTAGGCTAAAAAGAATGTTATGTTGTTTCAAAGCCTCGTAGTAAGTGAGAAATAAAAGCGTGGGTGGGATGTTGCGAGAAAACGAATTATTCACGTTTTTGAGATTATCACTAATGTCTTTATCTCGAACAACCTGGTAGCAAATATTCAGGCATTAGCTGTTCATATTACAATTCACCTTTACTAATAAAGCTTTTACACAGGCTCCGCTATCTCTTTCAGGACATCAGGGTGGTAAAGCGTCTTCAAAAGTAAATTATTGATCGAGACCTCAGAACATAACAGTTATTAATCATACACTGTGAAAAAAGAATCAACTAAATGTACAGAACATGTATTTAATGTTCAACTGAATATTAGTGAAGAAGATTTATTTTGTGTTATATGATGACAGTTTTTTATACCTTTCGGTGAAGTTTTGTGGGTAATGAGCTCAATTATGGTTAAGATTCGTCGATATTAACACTTATGCACATGACAAACGCTATTCTGCATTCAATAATGTGTTTTAAAATTATGGAGCATCATTCCTTAACACAAATAGTAGTTATCAGCATGAGGGTGCGGAAATTGTTGAATTCATGAACCAATTAATGTTTACCAACCACTGAAACACTGTAAACACTGGACGCGCGTTTCTCCCTAGCGTGCGACTCCTCAGCAACATCCATCCATGATCTCGCAAGCGAGAATCCAACTCAAGATCTTCAGTCGCACAATGCTAAGGATGAAACGGCCTTCCGGTGTTTTCAGGTGTTCAATCATTATCTGACTTATATCAGTTCATGATTTCATAAAAAAGATAATAATGATTGTCTTAGAATCATTATGAAGTAATGTTTATTGTAGCTTATTAACTAAATATACCTTCGTACACTTGGTTTTCAGTCAGATTTACTCTGTTATGATTAATGATAATATTTAGCCAGACAAACTGTGATAGATAAAACAGGGCTGAAACATATTGGTTTAAACCCTATTACTTAAATTACTAAGGCACATTTTTCTCAAAAGATTTGAAGTCACTGATGAAATATATCACTTAATTGTCAGCATATATTAAGTAATGAAATAAAGTGATTAATTTCAATGTATGAATGCCGGTCGGCAACCTATGCTCCATTGGAAGTAACAGGTGTAAGTAAGTACAGTAATTTTTTCTTTAGATTTTAACACTGTAAAATAAATAGTAATACATGAATTTTATTTAAATTAATTTAAACAAAACATTGTCTTTCATTATATAAAGTTTAAAAACGACAATTACATTGCATATATTATATATGGCAAATACAAATCTCACTTGTTGAAATCATGAGTCGATTGAAGCTAGTTGGTTAAGCGCCTAACGCGAGACTGATAAGTCCTGGGTTCGAATCCCGCGGGTCGCGGGATCGTGGCTGCGCACTGCTGAAGAGTCTTATACTAGAACGAAACGGCCGTCCAGTGCTTCCAGGTTTTCCATGGTGGTCTAGCTCCAATTGGCTAATGATTTCAGCAAGTGAAATTTTTAAAAATCTCCACAAAACCCATTCTGATAAAAATACAAATCTATTAATAATATGGTAGTCATGGAT